CGACTACACCAAACAGACTAAAAACTCATGGATATTCAGTTAATTCAGTTTTGAGAGGGTGTGTTTTTCACTATCCTCTGCTGAATGTCATTATCCTCTGAGTCACTACAGTTAATAAGGAAAAAAGAGGCAATGAGGCCCTGCATCATTTTGTCTTTTCCCTTGAAAACATCGTGCGCTCTTGTGACAACCTTATTCAAATGATACGGTCTAGGTCTACATCTGAGCACAATTCAAAGAGATTCTCCGGTTCCCTTTTCATGACACAGATAAAGCTATTACAGTGTGAAATTGTACTCGCAATGAAAACTTTAAATTCATCCACCAGGGCTACGATCTCAAACAACTGTGCCGATGGTGCCACATAGAGACTCGGGTTAGCCAAAGGTTGACCAAAAATACATATCAAACAAAGACACTGAGGCACAAGTGAGAGCTGCTGCAGAAGGAAAAATATATAATGGCAGACAGACAGAAAGAGGAGAAGGAGGAATACATCCATCTGTGTCCTATCCTTTACTGGAAAGGATAGAGAGGTGGCTGATGAATTGTTGAGCGCCACGGTGGCTGATGAATGGCTCAGCTCGTAGGAGAAGAGAGCAGATTTATTCCCAAGGCACTTAAAAGGGAAAATGATTATTTCTTGGCTAAGTGGTTCTGGTTAGTATTACATGTAAATCTTCTGAGATGGAACTTTAAACCAAAACAGAGAAGCTACGCTATGAGTGAACTGCTTCAAAGGCTTGAGTTACACCGAGTCATCCTGGCCGTTATTATTACACTGACAAAATTAAAGTTAATATGAGCAAATCTTTTCATTTGCTAGGTGAGTCCAATCTACAACAAGGCTTGTGAGCATTTAGTTGGAAACTTTTGCCACTGCAATTTCAAGACTTATGAATACTTACTTATAAAATCTAAGTTTGAGGCTAAAATGAGCTCATCTCTGAAGCAAATCTAACAATATTACCACTTGGAATGTGTATGAATCCAAGCCTGTGATAAACACAGTTCTCTCTTTCTGCCCTGACTTGTCCACGCCACATGTTTCACTTTGTTTGTCCATCGGCTATTCAGTCCACTGACTAATACATGGTGCCTGACTTTAATCTCCTCTAACATCACGACGCTCTTGTCTTCCAAAAAGACCCTCTTTCTGTCTATGGCTATTGCTGACAAAAACCGTAATTTATCATAAAATTATACAAGGGATTGGTCTGTATTATAAATGTGTGTAGACTGACTTCACTTAGCTACATAACACAAAGCAGTAACAAGAACCTGGATATCAAGATATCCTTTTTCAGGAAATAAGATACTGCTTTTAAGAGAACTGACTGGACAACATGTATTTTTATGTGTCATTTTCTTACCTCGAAAATAACCTGCACCAAAGAAGTTTAGGTTTACAGAATAAGTTACTATGGGCGTGTAACCAAATAAACTAAGTTACCTCACCAAGACTGAAAACCCCGTGCAAAAACCTTCCACTAACAAAGCTTCATAGTACAGGCCTTGGGTGTTAACATCTAGATGAGAAGCAGCAGCTAGTGTGACTGATCATAAATACTGAAATGTCTAGTTAAAGTTCAGCTAGTATAGCCAACCCGCCGTCTGGTAATGTCTATTTCTTGGCTGAGAGTTGTGACATCATCTGCTGCCTGCCACTCAAATGTGTGGTCAAAAGATTAGATTTGAACAGAGAAAATAATCTCCTATAAGACCACGATGTGCTGTGTTTACACTTCATATTTGAGATTTTAAAAAATGGTAAAGATTGGAAATTAGTGAGCTTTAAAGGTTCTGTGCAAACTGGATTTCTTTCCTTTCTCTCTAATCTTTAAGCTAAGCACAGGAAAATGTTCGCGTGAACATAATAAGGTGTTCTCTGTGTGGTTTCTTTTTTTCTAGTTTCGTGTCCAAAGAAATTGGGAAGACCACTTTCCTCTGTTTAAAGTTGGAAAAAAGAATGAGAAAGGCAGAATATGGATGGAAAAATGCTGCAGCAGTAATACGTCAGGAACACACCCAGACAGGCATCTTAATCATCACCCAGAGATGATTAAGAGGAAAGAGAACTGAGCCTCACAGAGCAGCTCATACACTCTGGTATTGCTAAATGATTCCTTCAGTGCGCATGATGTTTGTTAAACTTGTATAAACACAGCACGGATAACCAGTCCAACCTCCGTAGTAGGGCTCGAATGACGCAACACAGCAAGCAGCAGACAGTGATCTCTTCCCAGAGACGACACACAGAAAGATGTGACCTTACATGTCCCCACGACTCTAAGAATCTAAGTGCACGTACGTACGCAGTATCGGTTTATGACACAAGGGAGCTTATAAGGGGAAAAAAGATCTCCCAGAACTTCCCCCATTACCCCCACTCCACTCCACTCCACTCTTCTTGTCCTCTCTGCCATCCTTTCCCTTCTGCTCAGCACATCAACCGGCAGCACAACGCGGTTTGTCCTTATGCCTCATCTGTCTACTCTACCCTTCCGTCTTTCATTATCTTAATCCATCCTTCCTATCCCTTTGGACTGGCAGGAAACTGGATTTTCAGGAGCGAGGGGACGACACTCAGCTCAATGTGTGCAGGCTTGATAAGAATAGTAAGAACAAACAGGCCAAACTACAGCCTAATATGTTTTTCCCCCAGATCATTAAGGAGGTTCCTTTCTGTAACAGGACTGTCAGCAAACAATGGTGCCCTGCTTCCTGTGTTTCATCCAAACATGGATTTATCTTCACAAATAAAAAAAGAAGCAAAGCGCGGGGCCTGTGTGAGCAGTAGTGGATGACCACTCTCCTCCTTGTTTGCTGAAAAGTAAGAGTAATGTCTCCATCCCTGTTTTCTTTTTAACTATCAGATTCTGAGTACAGTACAAAAGCATCAGTGTTTTTGAGCATTTTGGTCCATATTATTTTTTTCTTCACCTTTAACTACATACACGCTACACTCCTTATACTTCCAATTTTACTGTATTTCTAAGAGTATATTTAAGTATTTTGTTTAGCTTCATTGCACCTCATCATACAAACCTCAATAAGGGTTTTAAAGCTTGACAATAACCATAAATAGCAGGGTTTGGGGTTTTTTAAGTTCACTCTGAGTTTACGTGTGCTTTTCATAGTTTGGGTCTAGCCCGACTGCAGAGGAAGGAAAAAATAGCAACAGGAAGTTAAAACAGCAGGTGCCAAAAAGTCAAGCCTCACTGTAACAGCATTTTTGAAAGTACGAACTGGTAAATTAAAGTGTCATTGGCTCAGCATATTCTCATAAATATACACATAAGCGGTTGTCAGGTGCTCCCACGTATCAGCAGACTTGTAAATAAAGGGAAAAACAGCAGCATCCAATGTGGTGCTTTGAATTTTTCGTGCTAGGGTGACCCTCTTGTTGAAAACGCGATTGCAGATTGAGCCTTTGATTACACTGTTCTTGCTTCTCATAACTACCATCTGTTCACAAGTTAAACCGACGTGACAAGAAAGTGCTCGCTATTCCTCTAAGCTTATAAAATGTTCACAGGAAAGGCTGCTTTACTGAATGGAAAAAAAAGCATGTGTGAACGCTAAGACGCATTATCACCGCACACACACACCACAAAGGTGTTTAAGAACACAGGCATGAGCACACTGTCCCTGTAACACCCTTGTGCAAGAAAACGACTTCTCCCTTTTAACCGCAGGTCTCTACATGAATTGTTGGTGTGAAACTTTGCGTAGTCTCTGTGTTGAGAAAACTGCTGCTGACCATGGCAAGAAAAGTGAACTTATTACATGCGGCAAGATTTTCCCAGTGAATCTAAAATTACTGTGTAAGGCTGTACATGTAAACGGGAGATGCGTGTAACTGCACTTCAGTGCAAAAATCCTCTCTTCCTGCATCTCTAATCATGATTTCCTCAAATCCTGAAGGTGTCAGAAAACAAGAATATAATGAGGGTTACACACATTTGCTGTTGGAGAACTCAATCTCCACATCCATGTATGAATCAGAGAGCAAAAATGAGGGAAATATGAATGAATGAGTTCCCCGTAAAAGGCCTGACAAAAAAAATGGTCTCATTATCTGCTCACGCTTTACAATACTTGTTTCTTTCCTCAGAGATGACCAAGTCTCATGTGGATTTTACTCTTAAAGTCTGGGGTTGAGGAGATGCCACTGGAAAGCATTGTTCCACGTGACTATACCAGCCCCCAGCCATAAGAACACCACCCCCTACACCCACACATCACAACGACAAGAGGGATGGAGATGAATGAGAAAAACAAAGGCCTGGGTGACAATTGATAAACATGCTGTTGTGCTGTACAGCAAGCATGCCAGGACAAGAGAGCAGCGATCGTCTTCACCTTCTAATTTTAGACTGTGTCACGGGACCAAACAGACAAATAGGTTGAATACAGACAATGGACAATTCTTTCTGACATCGCCGCGTGCGGCACAAGTGCATGCAGGTATCAGTGTGCCGACCCCTGCTCTGCATTGTGTTAGTGTCATCGTGTGCAGCATTACATCAATGCAATGTAATATGCATGTAATTGCCTGCATGTGAGCAAGTTAGAGTGTGCGGCCGTAAGAGGAAGAGTGAGAGCACACTGCCACTGTACGCAATTCTACCACCAGCTGATCAAACAATCGGATCTATAATTGGTTTTATATTTGATGGAGGCGTTTTACGAGCTGTGCAAAGGCACCTGCTTGTATTGGGAGTTCTTTGTGTTGCTATGCGTTATCAGACAAAAAGTAGTGATTTAAAGTGCGAGTAGAAAAGTGCCGATAAAGGCGGAGAAGTGTGCATAAAGCGCAGATAATAGATTAGTCTCCAGTGAAGTTAACCTGAACGCATTTCTCACTTCATATGACCTCCTGCCACATGTCTGGGACAAGCAAACCCATGGCGTTAGCCGCTAAGGTCGTCCGAACAGCACTGAACCCCGCTCGTGATTTAAAAAATAACAAAAGAAACAAGTGGTGGAGAACTTACCTCCTCTACTGTGAGGGGCATGCATATCCTGTACTCCTTCATCAGCATCTTCCCCCCTCTTTTCTGTTTATTCACAATGTGTCAAACCAGCCGAGTAAAGGTTCCCTCCGCCGACCGACGGGATGTGTGTACAGTCTGGAGACGTGTCAGAGCATGTGAGGGGACGTGTAGCCCGAGTTATAAAACGCTCCCGGAGTTCCGGCTCACTACTTTCATCAGAACCAGAGGACGCAGTCTTAGGCGCTGAACGTGAGAGGAGAAGTGAACTCGGTTCTGGGTTGTTCCCTCCCAACACACTGATGACGCGTCAAGTTGAAGCAAATGACGCTGGACACAACCGGAAGTGAGCATATGGACCATTAAAATAAGAGCAGAAGTGTGCGACTGCAATTTGAATTGATCCCGTTTTCTACATATACACATCATTGTTGTTGTTTGGCGACATATTTTTCACTTAACTATTTATACTTTATTCTATTTTGTATTGCCAGAAAGTGGAACGCCATATTCCAAAGGGTCAAAAGGCACAGGTTACTTTTTTTGCAAGTTTCAATTGGAAGTGAGTTTGAGGACAACATTAGGAAAGGTGGTTTGGGCATGTGCAGAGGAGGGACAGTGGATATACTGGACCACGGATGTTAACCATGGGGCTGTCAGGCAGGAGGGGGGGGGGGGGAGTCCACAGAGAAGATGAAAGTAGTGAAGAGTTGATGTTGGTTTCACAGAGGAGGGTATTTTATTAAGAATAACAATTTTTTAAGAACTTGCATCACTATGGTGTTACATGAAAATGTTGCCCTGTGTGCGGCTTCTTCTTCTTCTTCAGGCTGCTCCTTTTATGGGTCACCACTCACCACAGTAGACCATCTGCCTCCATCTCACCCTGTCACTAGCATCTACCTTCACTACCTCTGCTCCTTGCATCTTCACTGTTTCACCCGTCTTCCTCTCAATCACACACATGTATTCTGTATCTGATGCCTGATGTAATGCCACACCCACTGTCACTCCTACTGCACACTCACCACTGTCTCACCGTGCTCATATGTATGCTTCACCAACCCTTACATCTTTCTCTGCCACTCCCGGCTTCCTCATACAGTGCCACAGTTCCTCTCCTTGCACCCTATCGTGCTTTTTTTTTCTAGATCCATTAAGACATAGTGCAACTCCTTCCTCCTTAATGCCTTTAATTTTTAGTCTGAATGTGTTTATATTATGCGAGTTGTTTAATAATTCTGTTCATCATCAAACTGCCAAAACTAATTATATCTGTGGGCATCAAACACTGGTCGAACTTAACTTTCAGTTAATTTGTAAATGACTAAGTACAAAGATGCAAAAGCAAATTTCTTATTTGCACTGAAAACAAAAGATATTTAATTTATATTTTTAAAGAAAAAGAAAAAAGTGATTATTCAAGATTTAGTGGATTACATTTTATTTCCATTAAATAAAAACCTGCTTTAAAGTTTAGGGTGCGATTATTTAAGCTATTATTTTGAAAAAGCTAATTCACCGGATGTGGCATTGCCTTTTGCATGCTGGCTGCACAGCTTTCTGTTGGGGATGCCACAAGAAGTAAAAAGCTAAACTGCTGACGAGTAAAGCTGAAGGCTTCTTAAAGCAGCGTTTGTTAAGCAGCCTTCAGCTTGTAGGCAGTAAAACTGCGGTTTAAACGAGTCCTTCAGTCAGATGAGAACGAGGCCCTCTGCAACCCCCTCCGCCCCCCGACACAAACACACACACTTGTAAAAACAGCTCGCAGGGGTATCGGAAAATGTAAGCACTTAACAGCAGTCTAGGCCCCCCTTCTTTCCTCTGCTTGGCCGGTTGAAATACGAAGCGGCTTGCTGGAAACATCGGTCTGCTCAACCACAGCACAGGAAACATCAGCTCACTGCTGCACTCCCCCCAACCTCCTCTCACATGTCTACATAGTGCTTTTGCTTCTCGATCAAAGACGCATTTAGCACATATGCACAGACCACTGAGAGTGAGCTATAAAGAGTTTTAGATAGTTTCAGCAGGGTGAGTATGGTGGGAACATTTTGAGAGGATCAGACACTACAGCATTTTAAAATGAGTTAGGGGTTATGCTGTGTACTGCGTTCTTAGTCCAGATGGCTTCAGATAGCTGGAGAGGAACTAAGGAGAAGCTAAATACAAGGGTTATGGTTCATTTGTTGTTTTCAGTAGGACCATCATGATACCTGAGAGCCAAGACAGCAAACATGTGTCTTATAAACTGCAGCTACTAATGTTGGCCTTTCAGTGGGATGTAAACGAACTGTACAGTTTGCACAATTCACCCATTAAACACACACACACACACACACACACACAGGTTTCACAACATATCTGAAGAGAGGAAGTCAGGATTGTTAACTCACTTGACCAAAAATTTGGCCTAAAGGATCTGGGAACTATTATTATACTGTTCCATAACCTTCATTTATTATTTTAACATTGACAGCCAGTGCCCTCTTTTAACACACGCACAGATCTTTGTCTCATCCTAAGTAAGGGTTGAAGGGAAAAACTTTGCAAGACCTTCAGAATATTGGTGCTAATATTTCTGACTCCAGTAGAGTTCAGTAAGTACCTTCTGGTACTTGTATAACACTCTGTATTTGTAATTGGATTTCTGTAGTTTGTGAGTTCCTTTTGAAAACAAGACATTTTGTCAGTGACAGTAATGCTGCTGTCCATTAGTGTCAGCTACGCCTGCTAGAATCCGCCATACTTTAACACAGAGAATAAATTCAAATAGATGTCGTACATTTTTTTTTTTTTTAAATGTTACAGCATTGTAAGAATATAAAAAAATTGCAAATGTGACCAGTTTGTGCATGACTGTGGCCTCGTTAATGTTAAATGGCCTGTATTTATATAGCGCTTTACTAGTCCCTAAGGACCCCAAAGCGCTTTACATATCCAGTCATCCACCCATTCACACACAGGTGATGGCAAGCTACATTGTAGCCACAGCCACCCTGGGGCGCACTGACAGAGGCGAGGCTGGCGGACACTGGCGCCACCGGGCCCTCTGACCACCACCAGTAGGCAACGGGTGAAGTGTCTTGCCCAAGGACACAACGACCGAGACTGTCCAAGCCAGGGCTCGAACCGGCAACCTTCCGATTACAAGACGAACTCCCAACTCTTGAGCCCCGATCGCCCCAGTTAAAGTTAAAGTACAGATCACACACCTAATAGCTAAAACATTTAATGCTCTTAAAGGCATTGCTTACAGGGATACATTATTAAGTGATCAGTTAACATTAACTCAAAATATCTGGTGGCACAGTTGCTACAGAAGAGCTATATGAAAACAAGCATCATGTAATGTGAGTTTCCTCACAGCAATGTAAGTTTTTACACCATATATTAGGAATAACAAAAGATAACTTTAACACAAAGCTTGAGCTCCTCATCAACTCAACTCATCTTTCTTAATAAACTTAACTGAATGAAGATTCAAGTGATTAACATTGATTCAAAACACTTTTTTGAGAGAAATGTTTACAGTTTTCCTTGTTGTGTTCTAGTTAATGGTCTAACATTAAGTAGCACCATTTTACTTGGGCCTTATGAACAAAATGAGTCACATTTTCAAAGAAAGAACTTGCATAATACAGCACTCAAGAAAATTAACCCCGCTGGCACAGCAATAAAGCACGTGCCACTTCTTTGTGAACCTGCAAATATTAATTTAAGTGCTAAATTTACCTGAGCTTGCACTGAAAAGAACGTCTTATAAAATACATTGTGATTCAATGTAACTGTGTTCACATATTTGGCTTTCAAACAGCCCAGTAAGGTAAAGGATTATTAAACCCAAAGCACAGAAACACATCCATGGCTGCTATATTAATAATGGATTGCATTGACATAGTGTATTTCGAGACCCTCAAAGTGCTTTACAACTCCACTATTCATTCACTCTCACACACTGGTGGTAGGCATAGCTGGCCTGGGGCAGACTGACAGAAGCGAGGCTGCTATGTCACGCCATCGGCCCCTCTGGCCATCACTAGTAGGTGGTAGGTGAAGTGTCTTGCCCGAGGACACAATGACCAAGACAAACAGTGTTGGGGATCAAACCGGCAACCTTCCAGTTACAAGATGAGCTTCCCAACCCCCTGAACCATGGTCCACAGTACTATAGTACACTAAATTGAATTTAATCATTGCTGTATTCGAATTCTGTTACCACTCCAGAGATGCATGGGTGGTATTGTTTTTTTTTTTTTTATGGATTTCAAAGGGGAATACCAAAAATGTGCTTCATGCCATTAAAAAGAAGCCTAAGATACAACTGTGCAACTGTTTTATAGCCATGTCCTGGGTAAATATGACATTCTTTTAAATGCCTCAAAACCATATGATAAGACATGTCTTAAGACAGGTCCTAAGATATCACAAAACTCATTCCTTGCATGAAGCACAGTCACACAAAGGTTTAATTCATTAGTCAGTGACACATAAAACAAGGAAGAGCTTCTTAAAATCCAAAGCCTGTATTTAATTTCTGACAGTCTGTGTTTATCTTAAACCCCTCCGGCTGTCGAACAGTGATGGTCTTTCGCGTAACTACTTGACCTAAAGACGGCCCAAAAATTTCAATAACGTCTGTGTTGATTAGAAAAGAGATTAGCGCCCGATGTCATCTGATCTACAGATGACATCAGGCGCTGCATTATTAACACAAAAATAAATAAATAAAAATGTGAGCTTGGAAAAAAGCACAAATTTTACTCACTGCAAACTAGTCTGTGCATTCAAAGCAGTGGCGTGTGTGGGATTTGGACGTTTCCAAGACATTTAAATGGCAGCACAGGTGCTTTTATAATCTTATGACCCCTCTAAAACTCTCTTTTGATCTCTGTTTTAATCTCAGTTCAGGTTGTTTTGAATTTGCTTACTTTTACAGGTTTTCTTATATTGTGGGTATTTGTGCCTGCAGGTTCACAACAACAGAATAGTTTTACTGACCACTTAAAAGGCTTCCGACTGCAAGTTACACTTTAATTACACAATTCAAGAACCTCACATCCACAGCCAGTTTAGAATCACCAATTAGCCTTACGTGTATGTCTTTGGTCTTTAGTAGGAAGCCAGAGTAACCACAGGACACCCACTTGAAGTACACTGGAGCATGCCACCCCATTTCAGAGCCTTTCAGTACCTTTGTCAATGCACCCTCTGGCCTCTGTATGGGCTCTGTTCTTCATGTGCACCACATATGATCACTTCTGCTGTTTTACTGTTACAGTGTTTAGAGAATCTGCCACGATCCTTTAAAGACCAGCAGATG